TAAGAAGGGAAAACACACAAGCACAGGGGTTTGTGGACAGACTAGGCAGCACAGTGAAAACTTTCTACTTTATAATAATAATAGAAAAAATATCACTCAAACACTTTATCATATTGGTACTCAACACATCCCAGGTGTCCATAATACATACATACATACATACATACATACATACATACATACATACATATATAACTATATATATATATATATGGACAACTGGAAGTATATGTATATAAAGAGCTTTCTACTAAAATTAGAAAGAGCAAAAGCACCGCTCAGTGAGCTAGATTCTGCACCCAAAACATGTTCCCAGACCTGAGTTACCTTAAAGATTGTTATACTTTTCTTTAATTCCAATATCCTATTTTTTAACTTTTCTCTTATATTTTAATCTCAAAATAGTAACTCTGATAACACCATTTAATCCTCAAACCCTTTCTGAGATGAAGTGGTCGATATTTGCTTTCAAGAAAATAAATGACTTTATTTCTTTTAGGAAATAGATACCAAATTCTCAGCACCTCTTCTTTTGCTTACTCCCCAAATAATACGGACTGGTACCTACTCTGTCAGAATCACCTTGTAGAAGTTGGTGGCATTATGTTGAACATTTTTTTTGCTTTTACATAGTGTATATATCCACTGAAAGACAGTCATGAAGTAGTAAAACATTAATTCACCATAAATATATGTTAAAGAAAGCAGATGTTTCTAAAGATTTTCACAATCTTTCAATCCCAGCAATTATAAGACAGAGACAGGAGGATAACCACAAGGTTTGAGTTTGCCTGGTCTACATAGGAAATTCCAGATTTATATGGCAAGACTGTCTTTTAAAAAGGAATGAGGAATAAGAAGGGGTGGTGTGCATATGAAAGAGAGGCATAGAGAGCAGAGGTTGAGGAAGAAAGGCAAGAATTAGGAAGGGGTAAAGAAAAAGAAGGGGGAACAGCAGGAAGGAGGGAAAGAAGGGTCAATGAAGAAGTAGGAGGTGAAAAAGAAAAGAAATGAAGAGAAAAGTGGGAACAAAGAGTCTGCATATGGTATTTGAGATTCTTGTCTATGTTGGAGTGATAATAAAAGTTCTCTACATATAAATAAAGTATGATGGCACCAAGATTCAAGGATGTTTTCTAGCTCTATCCATTTGCCTGCAAAATTCAAGATGTCGTTATTTTTTCTCCTGTGTAGTACTCCATTGTGTAAATGTACCACACTTTCCTTATCCATTCTTCAGTAGAAGCACACGTAGGTTGTTTCCAGGTTCTGGTTGTACTCACTCATAAGTGGTTTTTAAACATAAAGCAAAGAAAACCAGTCCACAAGTGGCAATCCCAAAGAACCTAGACAACAATGAGGACCCTAAAAGAGACATACATGGATCTAATCTACGTGGGAAGTAGAAAAAGACAATATCTCCTGAGTAAATTGGGAGCATGGGGACCATAGGAGATGGGTGAAAGGGAGGAGAGAGGCAGGGAGAGGAACAGAGAAAAATGTAGATAGAGCTCAATAAGAATGATTAAAAAATATTCAGATTCAAGTATGTTTGAGTTTTCCAGTTTCACATCCTCCCTGATTCTAATATTAACCTCGTGCTACTTGCTCAGAAGGAAGAGTATGAATAACTTAAAGTGTCATAGAATCCTTCTTCTGACCTAAGTCTCTTTTATTCTCAATATTCAATGTTAACAGATCTCTGTCTTGTAAAATAGATTTATTAAATATTTGCTCAGCACTGCATTTCAATTTTGGGTTTTCACAATTCAATTATCCCAGTTTCTTCTTATGTAAAATGCCTCCGGTCCTACCTCTTTAAAAATGGCTCACATCCTCTTCTATTGAGGAAACTTGAGCTACAATCTGCTTTCCCTAATTAGCCTACACTAGCTTCTTTAGTCCATCGAATTTTGCTTGTTTGTTTTTAGTGTATTTAACTGTACACATGCCAGGTTTTGTTCTTGAAGCAGCCATTTAATAAATCTGCCCTTACCTTCCTAATCATAGCATACTCCCAGCTTTTGCAGGTCTGTCACAATACTATGTACATTTTCAGTTTCCATACCCAGTGGTGCAAATAGCACACAATCAATAGACATCCAAAATTGATCGTAAAGACAGTTCTATTAATGTCATTTTAGCCAGGAGACAAATACCAATACATTTTGCAAATACATATGTTTGTGATTCACATCTACGTATGGTGTTTGCTTGCAAGTAAGTTCAAGCTTGCCTGCAGAGGCATATGCATGTGCTGTATTGAGGTTTGGGGTAAGTTCTGCTAGAAAACTTGCATTGGTGTGTAAGGCAAAGCAGCAACATGTGATGGCTACCCCCAGCATCTTCATGTACATACCTGCATATGTGAACCTGCCAGTGTTCTTTCAGACCAAAGTATTGGTCTTTTTGGGTGTTAATTTGTTTGCTTAATATAATAGCTTTCAGTTAAAGAATTTTCTGAATATGCCATTTTTCAATATTTCTTCAAGGCTAAAAAATATGCCAGTGTGTATACATTGCACAATTTTATTATACATCATTTATTTATGAATATCTGTTCTAGAATATGAAATAGGTTTTTATCAGATGAAAACCTTTTCTTTTTCCTTTGTAGGGAAAGGTGAGCATGGAAAACCATACCCCCTTACTGAAGAATACCAGGATGACTCAGCTTACAGGGAAAATGGCTTCAATATTTTTGTCAGCAACAAAATTGCTTTAGAGAGGTCTCTGCCAGATATCCGTCATGCTAAGTAAGTGTGAACACGTCAAGTGTGTTTGTTACTTTGGTTATTTTGTGTTATTATTGTTTTTAACTTTTATTGATTCTTTACGCATTTCACATCATGGATTCTGATCCCACTTATCTCTATCCCCTGGCATCCACCCCCTGCCCTGGCAAACTTCCCCCACAAAGCAAAACCAAATTTAAAAGAAAAACTGAAAACCAAATAAAGCAAAGAAATGAAAAAGAAAGAAAGAAAGAGAAAGAAGGAAGAGGAGGAGAGGAGGAGGAAAGAAGAAGAAGAAGAAGAAGAAGAAGAAGAAGAAGAAGAAGAAGAAGAAGAGGAAGAGGAAGAGGAAGAGGAAGAGGAAGAGGAAGAGGAAGAGGAAGAGGAAGAGGAAGAAGAAGAAGAAGAAGAAGAAGAAGAAGAAGAAGAAGAAGAAGAAGAAGAAGAAGAAGAAGAAGAAGAAGAAGAAGAAGCAGCAGCAGCAGCAGCAGCAGCAGCAGCAGCAGCAGCAGCAGCAGCTTTTCAGGAAGCTGTAGTGGTTTCCATTGAGACACAGAATTTACCCTTTAGTCTGTTTGTGTTTGCTTTCAAGTGTTCATTGTCATAAATCATTGGTCTGGCTGGAGGCCTCTGGCTTCTGCTACACCACCGATAACAGGGTTTCACTGGGGCTCCTGTTGAATATCCTCTTGCCGTCTGTCTGTGTCATGGAGATCCTGTTGTTTTGAGTCTGTAGGTTTGTCGCCTTCACATGCTCCAACATCATAGATTCAGTGGATGTTAGGGTGGGCCAACTGGTTCTAGGCCTGCATGATAGCTGGATTGGTCAGCTCATTAGAGTTCCCTTCTCATCTCTATGTGGGTGAGCTATCTAGCACTGCCTTGCCGAGCTCACTTACTGTAGCCTGCAACAAGGATCAGGACCTCAGATTTCCCACCACCACCCAATCACCACACATTCATGTCACCAGGGCCAGTTCTACTGTTTTGCCCTATGTAGCACCCTCTCTCTGTATTGCTGTATTGGCTATGGGGAATCAGCGGGGTTAGCTCTCCTGCTCTCAAGACCTCTGGCTGGCTCACCTGCGTCCTCGACAACAGGATCAGCTCTAGTGTGCTGCCTAGACGGGAAGCAGAGGCTGCTTTCTCACTTGGTGTCATTATTTTTAATGCATATTATTATGGTATATGTAACTGAAGTATTGCACTAGCCATTTGAATTAAACATTACATGTAATTTTGTAATGTTACACGTGTTTATTTAAAATTAAATAATTTTGAAATTCGAAAAGAATGCCAACATTCTTGCTACATTTTTTTTTTATTTTTTATTAAAAATTTCCACCTCCTTCCATTTCCCTCCCACTCCCCCCACTTTCCCTCCCCCTCCCTCTCCAGTCCAAAGAGCAGTCAGGGTTCCCTGCCCTGTGGGAAGACCAAGGTCCTCCCCCCTCTATCCAGGTCTAGGAAAGTGAGCATCCAGACTAGGCTCCCACAAAGCCAGTACATGCCGTAGAATCAAAACCCAGTGCCATTGTCCTTGGCTTCTCAGTCAGCCCTCATTGTCAGCCTTGTTACAATTTTTAAAAAGGCAAAAAAAAAAAATACCCCCCCCCCAAAAAAAAACAAGAAAACACGGAAGGAGCAGAAGGTTTTATCTTGACACTTTGGCTGAGTTCTGAGGTGATGAACAGCAGAGAGGGAACCACAGCAGGACCAGCCTGCAGCTGTGAGTCATCACGGTACTCTCAGTAATGGGCTCGTACACATCTGGACAGCAGTCACTTACCCTTAGTGAACTCCCAAGCAGAGATGGGGCAGGAAATTGAACCAGGATATAAAACACAAGGCCCACCTCCAGTGACCCATTTCCCTTACCAAATCACTACTTCCTAAAGATGTACAACCTCCCAAAACGGTGCTGCCTCTGGAGACCAGATCTTTGAATGCATGCTTGTGGCCAACATTTTGAATCTAAACCATAATGCGGACTCTGAAAATTATTGCAATTTCATTGCCTATATTATCTTTATTTAAAACAAAATGTTTTTAGATGTCTATACTTTTTATCTTTGATATTATGGATTGATGATAAATATTTTTCTCTGGTTGACATTTTACCAGAACTGTATTTGGACATGAACCTTTAATGGACTGCTTTCTTAAGATAGTATTTCTTTGGGTCCTTGACCTAATATTCCTATAAGGAGTAATTAGAATGAGCGATTACATGGTAGTAGTTCCTTTTTCAATTCCCTGTCACTTTATGAACTGCTTGTGGTTTGGCAACTGACAGAGAGTTCTACTGTGTATATTAATCCACTAATGATGCTGCCTGGAATCTTCTGGAACCACCTCTCTATAGTGACCTCAAGATTACCTTTAAATTGCTAATTATGAGGGCGGAGTGGAATCTTTTGTGGTTTTCTGAAAGCTTATACAAAGCCAAAAATCTGATGACATGCTACGTGAACAGGATTTTCCACTTCACTGGAGCCTCCCATCCCAGTCTCCTTTAAGAAACATTAGTATGAGAGAGAATAGGGGAGCAAGGGAGAGAGGGTGGAGGAAGGGAGAGAATCAAATGTGCAGAAACCAAGAAAAATAATGATTAGAGCTATAAATTAAATACGAATTTTAAATATGTAAAACTGTGTTATATAAGGATAATTGACCATTAAGAGGGAAAACATTTTATTCTTTAGGGGGCTATTATTTTATTTCCATCACTACTTCATCCATTTATTTGACAAATACAATAATTACTGGGTTTCTTTTCAGAATCTGTTTTAAATTACATTTTCTAATATCCTTAAGTAGAGGATTAATGTGAAGAGCAAATAAATTTTTCTCAAGCTGAAAACTCTCTATATTGTTCTCAGCCTTTTATTCAGACTAATTATTCTCAGATTATTTACAATTATCTGTAGCAGTTCCCACTGCCCAAAACATTTCTTGTTTTGAGAAATTCCAACGTCTAATTGTGTTCCGTTAAAGACGATTAGGCTGCATTGTTGACATAGTAAATATTCTCAGACAATAATTTCCTTTTATTTCCCTTCTCCCCCAATGTTTCCAACCTATTAAGGTGCATTCCAGTGGAAAGCGCTACAGTTAGCAGCCCAGAAGCTGCGGAGGAAAAAGACTGCTCTTTTAAGAGTTTATTTTTAGTGTAATCACAACATTTAAAAAAACATATCCTTACACAATCGCAAGAAGTAAAAACAAAACTAATTTGAAATTTGTATTATATCCACAGAGGTTGGATTTGTAAGAAAATACTATTCTAAATGTTAAGAAAGCAAATAGTGGCTACTCTTACCACACTCATACTGTGTTATTGAGGCTGGATTCCATAAAAGGTCAAATGCTGTTGAGTAAAATTATATCAAACAAAATAATAAAAAATAAATAAACTCTAGGAGGAGAGGGAGTGGGAGGAGGGAAAGGAGTGGGAATTTGCATTGGAAATTTTTAAGTAATAAAATAAAATATTTAACAAAAAGAAAACTAGTGAGACTGTATATCCGGGAGGCTTTTAGAAATGACCATGGTGACAGTTTAACCTGATGTCAGCTCATATCCAGTTCTCCAAGAGAACGCTGATGTCCCCCTGACTTTGTTAGAATCACATCTGCAGAAAAGTCTAAAGTCTTTCAGGACCCACAATGCTTAACGTTTGATGCAGTCTGGTTCCCTATGCATTTCAAATGTGTGTGTGTGTGTGTGTGTGTGTGTGTGTGTGTGTGTGGTAGTTACACTATGATTCTCTGTGTAAATGCTCCCAGAAATCACAGAATCCAATCGACACCTATTTAGGGACTATTAGTTTAACTGTTATACAGCTAACTGACTTAGTTTGCTTATGTTGTTTCCCTTTGTTGAACAGGATGCAAGATTTGGATGACTTTAAAATGTGATAGTTCAAAGAAACTTTGTGTAGTCTCAGAGTGCCATTAAGAAAGGCTGTGTTTGTCTGGACTTTAAAACATACTGTGAACATATTATCTTACAGCTCTTCTTAACTGACGCCTCGTTGGCATTCCTAAGTTCCTAGTGTGTGTGTGTGCTTCTGGTATATGTTGCTGGTTTATGTACCAGTTCACATGCTCACATTTAGGTAACGTGCGTTATGCATGGTTTGCTATGTTTAATATACATCTTTGTTTACACTAATTCATTATGAGTTACTTTAGAAATCTCAGTCTACAAGGCTATATTTTTATATTTATTATTTCTTCTTTTTTCACTGTTATCAAAGCTAACACCCATCTTTAATTGTATATGTCATAGACAATAACAGATATGTCATAGGCAGAAACAAAACCATGGTCTTAGAACCATGAATGAAGCAAAATCAAATGGGAGTGAACAATAACTTGAGGAGTCTTACTTCTATACCAGTAATTAAATTATTTCAAGATTTTTATTTAGGTTTTTTAATTCATTTTTCCTGTTTTTTTAAATCATCTCTGTGTTATATTATCTCTGCTCTGTTATTGTCTAAATATTCCATAATTTTCCATACTATTATTCTGTGTGTGTTTAACATAAAATTTATATAATCTGTACATTTTAACCACTCAACTTTGTACTTTGTCATGTCTGTATGTTCAATGTATAGAATATTCTTTACATCTTCTGTGTATAATTTATTTCATTTCATACAATGCTGAATAGATCTGAGGGCATTTGTGTGAGAGGTGTCCAGTCAGTAGTTATATTAATGACTTGGCTTCAAAATAACACAATTTGTTTTTTCCTCACAAAAATATTGTTATACTTTCATATTTAGACACCTACCTAGGATGTCACATATATGTTTGTATTATGTAGAACATATTTTTTAATTTGCAGTTAAGATTGCAAAAAGACAGACTGTGCTCTCTTTCCTGAGCTCCACACAAAGTCACACAGCCTGACAGCTGTACCAATGGCCAGAGTGATCCTAGAGACCCCAGGGACAACACTGCTCACCATCCACTTGAAAATTGTCCATCAGCCACAGACTGTACCTCCAC